ACGCTGAGTCGCCCACCCTGCTAGTGACCACCCAGTTGGGCCACCCACTTGCCCTTCTCTCCCATCCCAGGCACGGAGCGCCTTTATGCTCTCTCCTCCCTCCTCCAAGACCAGCTCTCTAGGGTCCATCCTAGAACAAGCAGTGCCTCGAGTGGGGCTCCCAGCTCCTCAGTATCTGCTTTTAATCGGTAGACGCCGCCTCTCCAGGCCCCTCTCCTCCCCCCCCACCCCCCCCATCCTATCAAACGCGCAGGACTCCCAGCGTGTACTTTCCAGTCCCAATGGCCGGCTCATCTCTGCAGTGAGTTTGTCCTGTCAGGACCCTTGGCTCCCCCCCCCCCAGAACCTCTCGTCATCCCACCTTCCTCCTCTCCACACCTGCCTCCAGGTCCCCTCACAGCCATCCCTCATGCCTCTGCCTCGGACAAGCGGCCAGTAAACCAGCAAGTCCTACCAGCTCGTTCTCCAGATCACAAATCCGTCTGCTTAGCTCGGCTCCCTCCACCCGGTCCCCGAGCCACGGCTTCCGCCTGGACGGCAATGAGGGCCCCTGGCCAGCCCTGCTTCACCTCTGCAGCCCCACGGCCTCTCCCACAAAAGCCAGAGGCTGCTCACAAGTCAGATTGTACCCGAGTTCAACGCCTGCCCACCAGTTCCCACACTGAAAAGTAACGCCGCAGTCCTTACGGGGGCTCACGAGGCCCTTCCCACCTGGCCCCTGCTTCTCCCTCACCCCTGCCCGCCCCCCCTTCCCCACCCCTGCTCCTGCCCTCACAGACGCCAGCCCCTGCCCAAGGCAGGTGCCCACAGCCACTCTCCCCTGGCTGTGCTTTCTTCCGCACCCGGCAGTCTATTCCAGCGCCTTGATTTGCTTTCACTCCAGCGTTTCTCTCCACCTAAGAACACTTCTCTCCACCTAAGAACCTTCTCTCCACTAAGAACACTTGCTTTCTCCTCCGTGGCCGGCCCAGGAAATATCTGGATTGATTAATGAATGAATGAACGGTGGGTTACACATTTAACATGCAGCATAAAGAAAAGAATATAGCATTTTATTTCACATAACTTCAGAACCCCCACCTCATTGAGTGTGGCGGGCAGGGGAGTGGGAAACCTTGAATTTGCAAATTGATGGTGTCTGGGTCTCTTCCGATTTAGCGAGTCCCTCTCGGATAGGTTCTCAGTCCGTGAGCCGTCTTCCAGGCGCGCTCCTGGGCAGGTGTCTGGCCAAGGGGGAGCAGGGCTCAGGCCGCACAGTGTCATCAGGGTCCTGGCAGGTCTCGGCTGCTTCCCAGCCAGGTGACTGCAGGGCTGTGCTGGGCCCTTCTGGCCTCTGAGGGGGACCAGCTGGCCCCGTAGCTCCAGTTGCCAATGTCCGGGCGTAGCAGCCTCTCTCTCTCGGGACCACAGGCTCTGCCCAGCTTCTTGTTCTCTCAGCACCAGCCCTGGGGACTATGGAATCTGCACCCCCACGCAGGCCGGAAAGGGCGGCCACTGCCCCTGCCCGGGTGCAGAGGGCTGCAGGCCCCTCTCCTGGAGGGGTGTGTGTCACGTGTTCTGGGGCTCATCTGGGCATTTCCACAGCATCCTCACCTGGGAGGGAAGGTGAACACCCACCTGGCCTCAGCCCTGCCCTTTGCGTGTCCCCCTTTGTCTTTTGCCAACAACCCCCCAGGGTCCGGAAGAGGTGGGCTCTCTGCTCCCTCATCCTGTCTGACCAGACCTTTCCCTACATCGGAAACCCCTCCTGCCCCACACCGACCGTGGAGCTAGGCTGGGGAATGGGTTCCCCAGAGAATAAAGAACGTAACTGTTTATTAGCCTCAAAATGTGGCCCCATTACAAACACCAGGATGTGTTCACGCCAGCGAAGAACAGACGGTAGCGGGCGCACCGTGTGGAGGAGGTTCCCCGGCGCTCATTCAGAGAAGCGTGGGGGAGCCTCGAGCCCCCACGCGGTGCAGCAGCGCAGCCGTGAGAGCCTGAGTCCCGTGCGAGCTGCGATTTCATCAGCAAAACACCAGCTGCCACATGGCCTCGCTGGCAGGGGAAGAAACGGCTGCTGTGTCGGGGGCTCGGGGGCTCGGGGGCTCGGCAGCGCAGGGCACCCAGGGGCAGTGAGACCTGGCAAGGCGAGCTCTGACTCCTGTTTTGACCCCTCCCCGTGCTCCGTGCCTGGCAGACATTTCTTTCACTCTACAAAGTGCTGGGGCAGAGGAAACACCACCTCATTTTGCAGTCGGTGAAACAGGCTTAGCAAGGTCAAGTGAGTGACTGGTCCGTGGTCAGACAGCAGATCAGAATGGACCTGGCTGCAGAGCCTGGGGCTTATGTCCCCACCCGCCCCCCTACTCAGCCCTCCCACCCAGGCCAGCGCCGAGCGCCCACCTCTGGGCTCATCCTGGGCCTGGGACCAGGCCAATCCCCCTCTGCAGAGCCCCCCACCCCCTCACCCCCAGCTGGGCAGCGTGATTGTCCTCACCTGCAGTGTTTCTGTCCTTCAGGCTTGATTACTCCCTGCCTCCTTTCTTTTCCAAGAGGCCACTTGAAGGAGCGGAAATCAGGGCGTCTGCCAGGCAGCCCGGGAGGCCCTTCTCCACGGCCTGCCTGCGGGCCTGTCTGGACTGTGTAATTAAAGAGCCAGCTATTCATTCAACCACATCGGAGGCTGTTGTCCATGTCCTGTGTGCCCTGCAAGGAAGGGCTGGTGCCAAGCCTCACCTGGAGCCTCCCGCCCGACCTCCGCCTCCCTGGGCCAGAAGGAACCAGGATGCTGGTGGGCTGGAGAGACCAGCGGCCTGAAGTGAGGTCAAACAGACTGGTGCAGGGGTGCAGGGCAGGGTCCCCAGCCCGGGCCCATGCAGGTGGGGAACAGGAGTGCGCCGGGGAGAGGGGGCCCTAGGCACTAAGAGCACGGCCCCAGTCCTGCAGTGCCACCGTCCCGTTGAGTGGCACGGGGTAAATCCCACCCCCTCCTGGGCCCACACAATGCGAGGGTCAGTCCGAGCGGGTGGCACGCCAGGCCTCGCGGCCAGCCCAGAGGCGGCAGGGTTTCTGCCAAGAGGCTGTGGGCCGCTCCCTGCTGGAAGGCAGAGGTCAGCAGTGGGAACCACACAAAACTGGAGCCTGCGTGCCCGGCCGAACGTATTCCAGCCAAAGGGAGAAAGTAAAAGCCCAAGCGCATCAAACAAAACGCGCTGTGGGTCCAGCTCGGCCAGCGGCTGCCGCTTGGTGGCGTCTGGTCTACGTGAGTCTAGGTGACCTTGCTGGTCAGGTGAGTAGCGAAGGACTCTACCTATCACTTAACTGGCAGGATTAGGGATCGAAAGAACCAGGGCTTTGGAGACAGACATAACTGGATTCAAATTTTGCTCTTCCTTTGACCGACTCCTGCAAATACTCATGGAGCCTCAGTTTCCCCATCTGTAATATGGGGTTGATCACAGAAGGGCCTGCCTCAGGTCACTTTTATGAAGACTGAAGGAGGTTAGTGTATCTAGCCTGCCTGACATGCAGTCCACTCTCAGATGTGGTAGCTATGGTTACAGTTAATTTGGGGCAGGTCTCCATGGGGCTGAGTGAACTCTCACAGGCCCCCAATCTAACAGAGTTCATCGCCACAGTCTTTAACTCATAAAATTTTATTCTTTCTCATAAAACGATTAAGTGGGAAACTACATGTGATTTAATTGGTGGGTTATATTATTTTTCAAACAAATGAATTCCCAAAGCCAAGGGGAAGAAGACGCCTTTGTCAGATGAAATGACGCTGGCTCAGTGGAAATTTATGATAGGAGATCAATAAACAGAGGTCCCAACAAGATGGAACTGCCTCAAAAAAGCCCACGGATTCTCTATCCATGTTCCTGGCACATTTCAGCCCAAAGAGGGCACAACACAAAAAGGGAAGAGAAATTAACATTTATCAAGTGATGCTCTGACTGGGAGTCAGATGGCCTTCTGGTCCTAATGCTACCACTGACAGCTGCAGGACCTTGGATAAGTCACTTAACCTCTGGGCCTCAGTTTCTTCACCTGCAAAATGGGAATAACAATAACTCCTACCTCATGGGAAGGAGAGAGCTGAGAGGAGTAAACATAATGTACGTAAAGTGCTATACCACTCACAAGAGGCTCACTGCTACCCTGTCAGTAGGAGGAGCTGGCCAGCCTCTTCCTAACAACACCTCAGGGTTCAACTTTCATAAAAACATCGTTTGTTACTAGTTCCAACCATTCCCTTCATTCTTCTTAAGACCATTACTGTCACCCGGCTGGTGTGGCTCAGTGTTTGAACATCGACCTATGAGCCAGGAGGTGATGGTTCAATTCCCAGTCAGGGCACATGCCTGGGTTGTGGCCTCGATCCCCAGTGTCGGGGGTGCAGGAAGCAGCCAATCAATGATTTTCTCTTATCACTGATGTTTCTATCGATCTTTCCCTCTCCCCTCCTCTCTGAAGTCAACACAAATATATTTTTAAAAAGACCATTACTGTCAAGACACTCAGTCTGCCCAATATACATATTTGCAAATTAATTCTATGAAAGAGGTACAGTAAATGATCTGCATTGTCCAATTACTGTCAGAAGCCCTCCAATCCCAGCCCACGCAAGAGTCTTGGTGGATGACCCTTCTTCTCCCGTCCAGTCCAAACTTATTCGGCCCGTCCTAGTTTGCAAACAGAGGTGAAGCTGCTGCAACCACGTGAACGCAGGTGAGACTCTTTGGGAAGAGACTTCAACGTCAGGCAGAATGACAGGCTTCCAGAGGTGGGAGACCGTGGAGACGGCACACCCTCGGCTAGTGACGAAGTTGCGGCTCCCGTGGGTCTGTAGGACTGGCTTCTGAGGGATTGGCTGAAGGAAAAACCAGAAGAGCCTGCAGCTGTGAGCTTCCCCTCATGTGGTCCTCAGCAGGCGGCTGCAGTCTTCCTCCTGCAGGTCCATGGATTCCGGCAGGTCGCCCAAGCACCGTCACCGTCCTCCACCTGATGAGCTTTCCTCCAGGCCCGGGACGGGTAGACAGCTCCATGTACAGACCAGGGAAAGAGGTCCAGAGAGGTCAGTCACCTGCCCGAGGTCACCGACAGCAAGAGGCAGGCCCACTGTGGACGACCGTGGAACCTATGCATTTGCAGATGGTGGCTCATCCCACCCCCGGGAATCTCAGAATGTTGTAGTCACACTCTGAAGCCAATAGGACTCCACGAGGGAAGGAAAATGGAGTCCATTCCTCGACTCTTCTCCAAGCCAATAATTAGTTCTGGCCAGTCTGTTTCAGGTACAATTTGTGGGGCTCTCTCTGCCCTCTGCTGTCAGGGCTGCCCCAGGGATGGGGTGGTGGGGGGTTAGCAGGAGTCAATATGCCAGTGGGTAAGAGCACAGCCCTGGGGTCACGTTCCTGCTCTGTCTCTCACCAGCCGTGTGACCTTGGGCAAGTAGCTTTGCCCTCTAGGCTTCAACATGACATAAAAATAGCAACCGAGCACTTTTCTTGAGTTTACCCTGTGCCGGGCACTGCTCAAAGCCCTTGCCTTGCATTCTTTCGTTTCATTATCTCAACCACTGTATGAGGTAGAATGCATCCTTGTCCCCATGTTACAGATGTAGAACACTAATGAAATTTCAAAAAACCCTGAGGGGGTAGGGAAAATATATCCACACAAAGGTTCGGCTCAGGGCTCCTCGTGGGCCTTCCGCTAGGAAGCATTCCCTAGGCCAGGGGTCAGCAGACGTTGCCTGTAAAGGACCAAACGGTAAGTATTTTAGGTTTTCAGGCCACACGCTGTCTCTGTCACAGCTCTTCAACTCTGTGGCTGCAGCAGGAAGGCAGCCATGGCCGATGTGTACATGGTGGGCTGGGTTGTGTCCGACATAACTTTACAGACTCAGACCGTGGCTGTGGTGGCCGTGGGCGATGGTGCTGGCCCCTGATCTGGAGGATGGCTCCTCCTACTTCTCAGGGCCAATCCTGCTAAATCCACCTGTCCCCGACTCTTTTCTTCTAAGTGCCTGGGCCCCACTTTCGGGAAAGACTGACATATGAGGTAACAGAGAAGAGAGGACACGGGGAAATGGGGCGGTGGGGGTGGAGGGGGCCCAGGCCAGGGAACCTGCTGGTCTCCATCAGCAGCGAGGTGGCGGAGCCCCAGCAGGAGCAGTATTTGCTCAGAGGGGCAGGAACATGGGTCACGGTGTTCAGAAGCAGGGAGGGACACCTGCCTGGTGGAACCAAGACCCCTGGTTGTGATGGGGGTAAAGGAACAGGTCTGGACAGCAGGAAGCATTAGATGGGGGCCCAGTCAAGAGGGCTGAGTTCTGGGCTCATCTCCAGCCCTTGGGTTGGGGGGGATGCAAACACAAAGGGAAACTGAGGCAGAAGTCCATTCAAAGAACAGGCGAGAAGTTGGGGTCAGAGAAGAAGCTGTGGGTGACTCTGAGCCTTGCCTACTGGTAGGACAGGGCCACGAAGATCCTGGCTGCTGTGCAGGGCGGGCTCGAGACCAGGAGAGCCAGGCCTCCAGGCGAGCCAGACGGGGAAGAGCAGCCAGGGCCTCCAAGTCCACCTGTTCCTATCACCCCCTCTCGGAATCCCTGCACGGAAAGAGAATGTCACACGCAGCCCTTGCTGAGCCCGCTGGGGAGCTCAAGGAAGCCCCTTTGCCTTAATCTAGTCCATTCAATTCAATAGACATTAGTTAAACACGTGCTACTGGCCAACCCCTGGGGATACAGACAGGACGCACCGAGAGCCGTCACGGTTTACAAGTGAGGTAACATATGCGCCACTTCCTACCATACAAAGGAAAACGCTCACGGAGCGTGACCAAGCGCCACTGGACAGAGGACTCTGCCTGTGGGAAGGCCTTGCAGGAGCATTCGTTAGCAAATAAGAATGATCGTTTCTATAGTATAATACACGGGCCTATTGGCTCCCTGCATGGTTTCACAAGAATGAAGATCTGCCCCCTCTTTCTAGAACTCATGCGAAACATTTAAACATTCAAGAACTTTTTCCCCCTGAGAAGCATGAAGGTATCAGACTTCCCAGAAAAAAAGAAAAGCCTCTTACTAACCAACATGAGAGAGAGAGAGAGAGGAATCATCTCATGCCCTTAAAGTCCTTCGGAGAGAACGGACTTAAATAAATGTGTGTGCCTCTCGCCCAATGAGCTGAAAGAAAGCCCTGTCCTCTCAATAATGGTACTTCGGCTTTAAGGGGAGTTCGAAGGATTAAAAGCTTAGAATAAATGATTATCAGGAACTAAACACTAGCTCTATACACTGGTTTTAAAAAACCCCAGGCTCACAAAGATAATAAAAAATGCATTTAATAGCATGTCATGGTACAGCTTAAAGGTATATCAAGTCTTCTTTCAGTCAGTGCATTACAGGGAGAGAGAAGGGGAACGTCATTTGTGAATGCACAGTCAGATGTAAGCGCGGGTGCGGAGAAATCGCGGTGTTCCCACACCATGAAAACCCCGAGTTGGGACACGCCGCTCCGGGCCGGCGCCCTGTGCCGGAGTGGGGATGGCTGGTCCAGTATGCGCTCTACAGTGTTAAATTGAATTGTATACAAGTATTAACAAAAGAATAAAATTTATTATTCACAAAACTGAAGTGGTTATCATAAAGCTTACAAGAAAGTACGGCCTAGAACGAATGCATTGAAAAACTAGTTTTAAAAATAATAAGACATACTGGACAGTTTTGGGAACTGATATTATTATAAAACGAAGGGGGGATCGGCACAGTTTGACCACCTAATTTCTAAGTGCACTTTGTAATGGTCCTTGCGAGCTGCCACTGTTCCCAGGATAATGACAAAAAGCTTCGGTCCAGTGTCACTGGCTTATGGGGACGGGGTATTTGATTTATTGCATCGCCAAGAGTGGATTTTAAGAAAAAACACTACAAAGGTTTCAAAAACCCTATTTATTCTCTATCATCAAAAATAGCAACAGGGGGACTTATACAACTTTTCTGTGAGTACCCACCAGTCTATTTTTTTTTTCTTAAAAAAAATAGAAGTTAGTTAAAGAAAAATGATTTGGTTTTTAAAAAATAATGTAAGGAAACACTTAATCAGATAGCCCAAGGAGTCATCAGAAATATGTGTAGCAAGAAAGCTTCATTGGCGGCCCTCTCCGGCCCCTGCACGTCTGTCACTAAACTAGAAAGAGAATGTACAGTACCGGTATGCTCCCCAGCCTGCCTGATCAAATGGTTCTGTTTTGAAACCCATTATTGCTAAGCCAGAATGTTGTCGCGGAGAACCAGCCGAGGGGTCGCTCAGAGAGGGTAGAACTGAGAGGCCGCCTCCGAGGACTGGATCTCCACCTGGGCCATTTTGAACCGGGTGCACTGCAGCCACTTGCGGAGGGCCGCCAGGCCGGTGCTGCTCTGGGCCGAGCCGGGCAGCGTCCTTAGGCTGTGGTGGTTGACGTTGTTCTGAATGGCCTGGAGGCGAAGCTGGAGTCCCCCGGACAAGTGCTGTGGAGAAAGGGCGGGACATTTCATTTAGTTCTTTCCTCCTGGCGCTCACAGTGGACCCAGGGGGTGCCAGCCTGGACTTGGGCAGGCAGAACCCACGTGGCCCGAGGGCTGTCTGGCCTGAAGAAAGCCAGCTCTCGAATTTGGCAGCGCTCAGGGCGTGGATGTGAGCCGGTACCATGTTTCTACAGTCAACCTGGCCCCAATCCATCTCAATCATGCCATTCCTAGCTTGACTCATTCATTGCCACGGGAATGAAAGCGACATCAGTGCACGGCCGACACCTCTTGTGTCCCCCGGGAGCTGTGCACCATATGACCTGCTGTGGCCATGAAGTGCCAGGACTCAGAGGCCAGGCTCCCTGGGTTCAAATCCCGGCTCCTCTCTGGACAACTCTGGAAACAAACCTTTTCAGGCCGTGCTTGGATTTTCTCCTGGGCAAGTGGGGCAGTAACACTCACTTTGTGGGGTTTCTGTAAGGATACGTGAGCTCACAGAGGGCTCAGCACAGAACTCGGCACGTGGTAAGTGCTCACTACGCTCTAGTCATGGGTATAACCTCTCTGCTCTCATGTTAATTCACATGAAGAAGCGAGGCTGTAAGCTTTTCTTATGCTTCCTAGCTTTTCATCGAGTTCCGTGGGCCTCCTCTTAGCAGTCCATCCACATCAAATTGCCACGAATTATCACCCAGTGCGGGGAGGGGCAACCTGGAAGTACAGGCACTTTCCCCATAAGAACGAGGACTGGGATGAGGTTTCATCCACCAGCGGCCACGGATAGGACCACCCCATGAGTCGGGACTCAGCCTGCAGCTGCTGAAGGCTGCATTTCTCTCTTGGTGCTTGGGTACCTTGACGTCACCCCCTCCTTCCTCCAGCATCCCTCCCCAACTCCGAGAAGGCTCTGTCTTCTCCCCCTGCCCCACCCCTGCTCCCAGTGCCGTAACAGGGCCCAGTTTTGGGTGGAGCGGGTGGCCAGCTTTGGCATCTTAGTGCCAAGCCCTAATAACTTTGTTCACTAGTCGTGGAGGCTCTCTGGCCCTACGATAACAAGGCATCACTCACAGCAGGGACTGGCAGCGGGAAATACGCTCATCGGGGCTGCCCCTTCCTGGCTGTCGGCCCTGTCCAAGCCACTCCTCCTCTGGTCCTGGGTTTCCTCTTGTGTAAAATGAAGGGGTGGGACAGGTTCCTTCTAGCTCAGTTCTGTCCTTCATTCAACGCTATTCTTTAATAAAATTCTTCCCATCACAGAATGGCAATTTTAGCGACCAGGAAACGGCACTGGGCACGCCTGGGACCAGACCCCACGGGGACCCTCTGAAGGCAGAGCAGCCTTTCAGCCTGCATTCCAGTCAGTCACTGAGCCGCACCCGGACTCTGGGATTCCCCTGCCCCCCACCCTCATCAACAGAGGCTCCCGCTGCCACCTGGGCTGCAGGCCTTTCATCTGGCCCACAGGGGCTCCTGCGCTAAGGGCCCCCAGGGACCGGAGCAGGTAGAATTCATCTTTCTCCACGGTGAGTGGAGCGTGAACGAGCCCTCAGATGTTCTCTGGAGCGAATGGAGCCTTGTCTGCAGGGGTGACTTACCTTGATATTTGACTGAATCATTGGCAACCACATAGGTATCAGCTGTGTGGAGAAACACAGAAGCCTCGTTATGACTGTTCCCCCTTCTCCCACATAAGCTTCGACAACTCGAGGGACAGCAGGGCACACTGAATTCCTTTGACATCACAAAAGGATGTGGGCTCCTGCTGCGGAGTACCCCTTATCAAAAAAGCGTCTTTCTGCCCGGCCGGCGTGGCTCAGTAGTTGAGCATTGACCCATGAACAAGGAGGTCATAGTTCGATTCCCGGTCAGGGCACGTGCCCGGGTGGTGGACTTGATCCCCAGTGGGGGGCGTGCAGGAGGCAGCTGATCAATGATGTTTCTCTCTCATCAATGTTTCTACCTCTCTCTCCCTCTCCCTTCCTCTCTCTGAAATCAATAAAAAATATATTTTTAAAAATTTCAGCCATCCATTATTTGTTTTTTAAAAAGCAAGCGTCTTTCTGTGGCTGAACCCTGCTGAGCTGGCGGCATTTGGAAGTTGATAAGCGCCCCCTGAGCGCCTGAAACACACACTTCAGAGCAAATGACTGATTGTCTCATGAAAGCCATCAAGCATGGGAAATTAAATGTATTTACTCAATTAAATCCTCACTTTCCTGAAATAGAGTTTCCTCCATGGATCTTTAGAATTGAGTCTGAGCAGCATGGCCACTCTATCTGTCCGCAGTCATTAAGAAAACATCACTGGGAGCGGTCGGAATGTTTCGGTGATAGAAAAAGACAAGGCTGAAGTGGCCTGGTGTGATGTGGAAGGTGAGACCCAGGAGGTGAGTCGGGCCAGGGCTCGAGAGGGTGGGTGCCCAGGCCGGCGGGCGGAGAGGAGGCCCTTCGAGCGCAGGCAGCTGGGTGCCCGGCCCCTCTGCTGCCTCTGACTCGCCCTTCCCAGGAGGCCCAGGTGCCCGGGCTGAGTGCCTCCGCAGGGGCTCTGCCGTCGGCTCTGCTCTCTCGGCCACGTTTCAGCCCCTCGGGACAGAAGGGAATGTTCGTGGCCTGGCCAGTCCAGATGTCGGGGACAGGATGCAGCTTTTCTGGAAGTGTGCTCCGCAGAACTCAAGTTTGGTGGGATTTAAACCGGGAGGGGGGCTATGATCCCTAAGTTTGGGAATGCTGGTTTCTTTATTTGTGTTAATATGCTTATATGCATCTTCTCATTTCCCCCAATGTTTCTTCCCACGGATCGAAGTGTGTCCCCTCAAATAGATGCTGTAATCCTTGCCCACTCAGCCTCCGATCCGGCCTTATCTGGAAACGGGGTCACTGCAGGTGGAATTAGTTATGGTGAGGTCATTCTAGAGTAGGGTGGGCTCCTAATCCACTCTGACCGGTGTCCTTATGCAGAGGGGAAATGTGGGCACAGATGCGGGAGAACGCTGTGTGAGATGCAGGCGGAGCTCAACAAGCCACGAAACACCAAAGACCCCAGCCACCCACCAGGAGCGCAGGGAGAGGCCCGCAACGAACCTCCCTGGCCTCAGAAGGAACCACCCTGCTGATGCCTGATCGCCTCCTTCCAGAACGGTGAGGCACACATTTCCGTCATTTACGCCACCCATTTGTCATCCCTTACAGCAGCCCTGGCAAAGCAATACAAGCGCACCCCAGGAAGCAAAGCCCGGGCGGAGTGTGTGTGTGTGTGGGGGGGGGGGGTGGAGGCAGGAGGGCCCACGTGATGCTGAAGGTGTGGTTCTCAAGAGAGGGCCACGAGAAACTAGCTTAGAAAAGCAGAGGCCCTCTTTGCCCACGGAGGACCTGGGAAGCCACATGAGGAGACTGGATCTTATTCCAAATTCAATACAACCTCTGAAGAGGGGGCCCCATTCTCCAGGAGCAGATTGTGCTCCAGAAAGACGCTGTGGCCGCAGTCTGCAGACGAGGGTGCGCGCGGGCATGGAGGCGGAAGGCAGGGGCCCGGGGTGGAGGCGGCCTCCACGGTCCAGGTCAGACCAGGGATGGCTTCTGGGATGGAGACGGATGCTGCCTGCGGAGATCCCCTGTGAGGGTCTAGGACTAGTTTGCTCTTTGGAGCAGGAAAAAGGCAAAGAAGAAGCTGAGGTCTCTAGCCTTGGCAAACTGGAGGACGGCAATGCGTTGAACATGGTGAGAACCAGGGAGAGAGGCTTGGGGGTGGGGGACAGGGTATAAATGACCTTTCTCTTCACTTGCGTGGCCATAGACTGCCGGTCTCATTTAATTCATCAAAACATTAAAAACATAATAGTAAACTGGGTGAAGTGATAAATTCCATTTCTCTCTGAGCTTCTGTTCTCAGGGCTAACTCTGGCTGCTGTTTGGCTTTCAACATGCTACTGATGTGTACAACTTGCTAATTTGACTTCCAGTGATGTTGCAGCAGTGAATATTCAGTTTCTAACATAAATATTGTGTTTAGAAATGGAGTTGGTGTGTCCCGAAAGATGTAATTGGACTAAAATGCAACATATCAGGAAGTGACACCCTCTCCCGAACTCCCCCTGCCACCAACACTCATAACAAACTGTAGGATTACACACGTTGGTGCCAGATAAGGCTGTGTGCTCTGACAGTCTTAACTGGAAAAAAATAAACAAGTAAAACCGCTTCCTCCTGGCGTCTGTACAGCAAGAACCAAACCCTGCGGTCCTCATGTCCACAGACGTTTATTGACTCTTGGCCTATCTGATATGGCAGCAGGCCCATGTGCCTCTTGATATTCGGGAAATACTTGAACTAGCCTCTTGTTAAGAATCCTGAGGGACCAGGGAGGGTAGGAGCCAGGGAGTGCTGAGTACTCAGACCCTGGGGGACACTTCTCCCAGTGCTGTCTCTGTTTGAGGCAATCCAGGGGAATAGTGAGGTTGGTTTTAGAAGGGGGTTTTTATTATTTCCCCATTGAGGTAACATGTGGCCATAAGATTCTAAAGTATACCTACAGCCTGGCTGGTTTTGCTGAGTGGTTAGAGCATCGGCCTGCGGACTGAAGGGTCCCAGGTTTGATTCCGGTCAAGGGCACATGCCAGGGTTGCGGGCTCAGTCCCCAGTGTGGGGCGTGCAAGAGGCAGCCAATCAATGATTCTCTCATCATTGATGTTTCTATCTATTTCTTCCTCTCCCTTCCTCTCTGAAATCAATAAAAATTTATATATATATATATACACACACACACACACACACATAGTATACCTACAAGGGACCTTTGGGTTTGTGATTTATAAGTCACATGACTAAAGACTTCAGGTTAAATCTCATTATTAGTGAGAGTGTTATATAACCCAGCAGTCATCCTATTTCAGGAATGCTAATTTGACTTATTGAATAGCATTCATTTCAGTTCCCTTTTGCTAGTGGCTCCTACAAAGCTGTCAGTAAGAATTAGATGTAATTTATTTTAGGCTCTGTAATGTTATAATAAAGTTGTTGGGTGTTTTTTTTTTTCTTCCCCAGAAGCAATATCTGGAAAACAAAAGGACAGTTGAAAAAAAGGTTGCTTTTCATCATAATGAAAGTGATTTCTTTTCTCTTATCTCGGTTTATGCTACGGGATAAATTGAAGACATCCTGCTTGGTTGAGTGTATTCATTTCACTCCATGCTTTTCCCAGGTCTCAAAATTAAAATTAGTTGTGAGACGCTCTCGTTCAATAAAGATGGAATAACAAAGACCAGATTCACCCTCCTGCCTGAAACAAGTGAAATTTCAGGTGGAGTGTATGAAACACGGTTCCCCAACACTGAACATCAGCCATGCTGGGCATGATGACTGAGGGAGGGGAAACCAACAAGATGAGCAAGGCCAGCCCCGCCCCCGGCCTAGAGAGTCCTCAGGCAGCTGCGCAGGGAGGAGAGCCTGGCCGTCTCCCTAAGTTGAAGGGATGGAGCCAGAAGTCCAGGGAGGCCTTACAAGCTTGAGCCACAGTGGAGAGGAGAGAGCTGCGCAGAGAGAGGCGAAGGACTCTGAGGGTCTGTAAGAGCTTCAGTCTTCAGCTGAATACTGACCATGTGCCAAAACCACTCAAGACTAACCAGAGACAGAAACTACTCAGGGCTATACAAAAACACCCCAAAATATTAGATGCAAAAACCCCTGCTGATCACATAGGACCAGCAAACTTGTGTTTCCGCTAATTAGAGTAGAAAAGTCTTGTAAATCATAGGACATCAAGTAGAGTACTCAGGGTGCTACCTGAGTAGTGAAGAAATGTTAACCTTAGACAAAAATGCTGCTCTGATTCCACCTAACCAAGTCTCAAAAGGATAAAACTGTTTCTAAGTAATTCAACTATGTCATAGAATATAGGTCAAGAATAATGTTAAGCCAAAACCGGTTTGGCTCAGTGGATAGAGCGTCGGCCTGCGGACCGAAAGGTCCCAGGTTCGATTCCGGTCAAGGGCATGTACCTTGGTTGCGGGCACATCCCCAGTAGGAGATGTGCAGGAGGCAGCTGATCGATGTTTCTCTCTCATCGATGTTTCTAACTCTCTATCTCTCTCCCTTCCTCTCTGTAAAAAATCAATAAAATATATTTTAAAAAAAAGAATAATGTTAAGAATGCAAAAATATCCAGCACCCAAGAAAGTCAAATTCAAAACGTCAAGAATTCATTAAAAAATTACCAGGCGTGCAAAGAAGCAGGAAAATGTGACCCATAATGAGAAGAAAAGTCAAACAATTAGAAAAGACCCCAAAATGACACATAACAATTAGTAGACAAGGACATTAAAACAGTTATTATAACTGTATTTAATACAGTCAAGAAGATAAAGGAAATATTGAGTATGTCGAGTAGAGGCACAGAAGAGTTAAAGAAACATGCTGATACTTCACTAAATATAATGAAAACTATTCGTTCACAGATCTAAGAAGCGCAACAAACCCAAGCACAAGAAACATGAGAAAAATGACACTAAAGTGTTTCATCATCAAATGGTTTAACAACAGTGGTAAAGAGCAAAATCTTAAAGGCAGCCAAAGAAAAAAAGACATATTATAGACAGAAGGAGAAAAGTTAAGAATGATACAGATTTCTTGTCAGAAACAATGTAAGAAAGAAGATAGTGGAGAAAGAAGCGACATCTTTAAAGTATG